AAAGCCCCCCTGGCGGGGCGTGGGCGGCGGGGCTTCGCCCCGGGCGACGTTGCCCCCGGCCGGTCGCCGCCAAAGACGGAGCTCGAGGAGGGGGCAGCGCGAGATGCGGGCCTGCCGAAGCCGACCGAGGGGCCGCACGTGGGCCCCGTTGCTGTTTCAAAAAGCGCGCCCTGGTGCCAAGCACGACGTTTTTCCACCGCCTCGCGGAGGGCATGGAGGGGTGGGAGCACCTGTACGACGAGAGGACCAAGGGCGTCTGGAGGGTGGATGAGGCTGCTCTGACGGCGCAGAGGCCGTTTCGGGGCGAGCTGACGCCGCTGGGGTAGAGGTCTGTGGACGTGCTGCTGTGAGATGGGACGATGGGAGGCGAGCATATTTTTTTTTTGGGTGTGCATTTTGGTGTGTAGGCATGGCGAGGCATTGAGCGGGCGTTATCGGTGGGCATTCTCTTTTCTCTTTAGACTCGCTTCAAGCATGATGATGACGAACGGGTACATTATTCTGCGATCATGGTGCACATAATCCTTCAAGCTGCAATCATGTAGAGAGTCTTTCACCCTGCAAGGATGTAAACATTCTTGCCGGCATGGAGCTAAAGTGGGTGCTACAAAGCTCAGGGGTGACAAGATTGGGGAGCACTTATCTACAGATTTCAGGGCCAAATTCATCCAAACCAGTCCGTACTAGATACTCAGGCGCCCCCAGTGGAGTTCCTTGGGGCCTTCAGGGCATCGGTCTTCAGGGCATCGGCCCCTGTGAGCAACCACCAGAAGATGTCACATGGCGCTGGCCATAACTTGGGCTTGCGTCAGCAAAAGCTGCCAACATGTCTATGTCTGTTGCCGGCTTCTTTGGAATAGTAAGAAGAGAGAAGAAAAAAACATGCACCTAGATTGCCTGAGACATGAGCGACGTTGGAGAGCTGGGCGTGCCAAGCATCAGGTGTCTTGACCCAATCATCCTAGTGACGTCAACCATCATCACCATCGCAGGAAAGGCGCCGTCACCATTCACAGTTGTGACGCGACACCCGGTTCTCGTGACGACGACAGACACATGTCGAACAGTGATATAGGCCAGTCTCGCTATCCTCTATTCCTCTGTCGATTCCCAACTCACCACGATGAAAGTCCCTCTGCCCAGCAACCTCAAAATCGCAAAGCAAGTTGCGTCCCATCCTGCCGCCAAGTCATTCGCCACTGAAGTCCACAAGAAGATGCCCGCAGGAACCCCGTCAGAGAGTGCAAAGGCGCAAGCCGATGCGTCGGCGGGTGGCCCCTCGTTCGAGTCCATCGGCATCAAGAACACGGACATTGTCCAAAAGTCGGGCGTCTCGCTTGATTCCCACCAAAAGGTCCTCGTCGGCAGCGTCCTCGATGTACGTCACCCAGGCTCGCGAGATGCGGCACCAGTCCAGACCGCCCACGGGTGCGAGATGAAGCAGAACGAATTGCAAGAATGGAAAGAATTGACCAATGTGCCCAGCTCTTCACCGGAAACCCAACGCTGAAGCACCTGTCCCTCTGGTCGAGAGAGGCCACGTTCCAGGACCCCATCACCAAGGCCGAGGGGTATGACCAGTTCGCCCCCCAGTGGTATGGCCTGCCCGCCCTCTTCCACCCCATCGTCCTCAAGTCGCACACGGTCGTGTCCGCTGGCAACCCGATCGAGATCAAGCTGTCCAACAGCTACACCGTCAAGGGCATCAAGAGCGAGCAGACCATGGACAGCGTTGTGCACATTGATGTCGGACCCGACGGCAAAATCACCCGCGTCGACGACAGGTGGAACGACAATATGCCCGAGGGTGTTGTCGCCCAGGTATGTCTTCATTTGTCAATGAATGCGCTCGTCTCCCCCAAAGAAAAACGTACTGATATCTTCGCCCAGACACTGAGAAAGCTGAATGCCGTGTCGGTGCCCAAGTTTGTTACTGTGCCGAAGACGGAGGAGGAGGACGCCAAGTTGAAGTCGGAGCGAGAGAGCCAGTAATCGGTCTGACGCGGCCAGTCTCAAGCACAGTATACCAATACAGCCGTTTTCCCTGCAGCTGTCGCTTCAGCGGCGCCGTAAAGACTGTGCGACACGAGCTCGGTGAGCCCATTGGACATCTCGATCGTCCATGACGAACGTTATTCCTCACCTGCGTCATGTGATGTATGCACGCGCATCCCACCCGCCCCCGAGACGACTGATATGATCCGCCCCAATCCATCACTGACGCCATTCTCGAATGGGTGAGGAGAAGAGAACCACATTTTGCAATCCATTCTGAACCAAGGGAAATGACATCCTCCGTGCGAGACTTGCATATTAGTCCGCGCCTCGTCAACACAGAGGAGGGGATGGGCTCGTTCGTGACGTCCATCCCCTCCACCAGCACCTTATACCTCAGCCTCGCAGGCCACAACCTCGGCCAGCACGGCGAGCTCGCCCTCGTCATCGTCCTCGTCTACCCGCAGATGCACATCGCGCTCCTCGACGTCCCGGTTCTCAACGGCGCCGTTTTCACAACCCCGGGCCGCGACGGCCGCACCCTCCGGTCCGTTCTGGAGGGGGGCCGGAACACCAAGTGCTTCTGGGACATCCGGTCCAACGCCGAGGCACTGTGGAGCCTCTGCGGCGTAGGCCTCGACAACGTCATGGACATCCAGCTGCTCGAGAATGTGACGCGGTCCGGCGACCGCAACTACGTGCAGGCCCTCGACTGGTGCGTCCAGCGCGACCTCGCCGTCGAACCCGAAGAGCTGCGTCTCGGGCTCCGTGCGCGGCGTGTCGTCACCCGCGCCGGCGGCTCCGCGGCCCCCTTCACCGAGCGGCCCATGAGCCCCGAGACGGTCCTCTATTGCGTCAACAGGGTCTTTCACCTGCCGGCTCTGCACGCGCTGTACGACGAGAACGCCGAGCCTGGCTGGGCTGCCTGGGTGCGGTGGGAGAGCTTGCGCCGCGCGCTCCGGGTCCGCAGTCCCGGCTACGACCCCCGTTCGTCCGTGAACATGGTCTCGCCGTGGTCTGACATGGGGGACGGGGGTTCCTGGACCTTTGGCGACCACGTTGACGCCACGCAATACCACTGGAAGACAGAAGCCGGGGAAGACACAGTTGCTTCGCTGGCGGCTACGGGAGACAAATTGTTCAATGCCGATGAGTGCCGTCAGTCGGGATGCCAGAAGATTGAAGCTGGCCGTGGCCAGCAGTGTTTTTAAAAGCTGCGTGGGTATTGAAGTGTGTACCAGTATGGCCGTCTCAACGTTGTGTGACCTCTTTTTAGTCGAAGATTCAAAAGTTCCCCGAGCAATAGCGAGCTCGATTGCATGATGTTGTCTCTAATTCGAACCACCACTTCTTTTCAAGTGCTTAACACATGACGATCCTGACCTGGGGCAAAAGGACAAAAGATTAATCGCTGGTCAGTATGAGGGTCGAACTCATGACCTTGGCATTATTAGTACCACGCTCTAACCAACTGAGCTAACCGACCAATCGATGGAATGCTTCGCATCAAAATTGATCCATAGACTCAAAACAAATCACAGCAGCTCAGTAATTGTTTCTCTCACCCTTCAAAGCAGATCACTCGAGGATGTACTCGTTTTCAAATAGTACTGCGTATTCGTACAACTTATTAACCCTGTCTGGAGCTCGCCGCTTGTAACGTTCCTCTACCAAATGGCCGCCTGCGCTGAGATCAGGCAGTGGGAAGCTGCGCAAAAAGAAAACACAAATGTGCATGGGAAACGAGGACCTCTCAGACGGCGGAAAAGATTTGATTTGCGACGGTGTGTTCTCGTACTGCGAGGAGGCTAATCCCTTTGGTGATAGATCATAGTCCTGAGGGCAAATCGCGACATCCACACACTACAGGCGCTTTCGCCGAACCGAACGCTGCGTTGAACCACACCGTAAACCACCATGGCAACAATGTGGCCATCTATCCCGGCCCTGACGGCTCGGAATCGTCTTACTCGCCCTCACCGTCCCCGCTCTCTTGATCCTCTTCGTCATCGTATGCATCATATACCTCGTTGTCATCGTCACCATCAAGCGCAAAGCTGACATCTTGTCCACCATCATACTGCCCGTACCAGGGTCGTCTCCATGACGAGTAGCTCGAGTAATAACTACTTGTATCTAGCACGTGTTAGCCGAGAAAACAGCACTGCGCGCGCCAGCGAGCAGGGTCTCACCTCGGACGCCACTGATTCCAAGCTGATCAGCAACGTTCACGTAGCCCTCACCGTTGACGTGGCTTCCCTTTTTGATCGTCTTGACCATCTCTTCGTCCCCTTCCCACACACTGCGACAAAAGGGACAAGTCACCTCTGACTGACGCTTCGTCTTGGCCCAGGTCTGGAAGCAGTCGCGGTGAATGTTCTGCCCACAGGCAGCCCGGCACCAGACGACCTGCTCGTTCCTCGAGGTGTCGAGCCCGTCAAAGCAGATGGGACAGTCGCCCTCGACCGGCTTCCGTCGGTCATCGGCCGAAGCGCTTGGGTCCTTGGCAGCGTCGAGTGCTTCTTTGCTGTCAATGGGGGGCGCGGCGGCGAAGATCTCGCGGAGCTCGCTGCTCAGGAGGGCAAGCTGGTACACGTGCTGGAACCTGGCACGCAGCACGCGGGCCATGACCTGCAGATGTCAGCGAGCGACGGAGAGCCACAAGGAGCAGAAGTTCTGACGTAGAGAATGTGCTTGCACTGGTTGCCCTTCCGTGCATGGGGACAGTTGCATGACGGATTCTGGCCAACGTGAATGTTGTAGACATTGCCCGTCGACCCAGCCAACTCGAGTGACTCTTCGGGGCATTCTGCGGTTCCCCCGCGTTCACGCTTGATCACATAGAATCTTGGGGATTGGATCAGTCAACGATGAAAAATGCAATGTGCTACTCTGGGTAACGCACCGTTGGGAGAGCGCGCGCTCATAGATGGTGTAGAAGCTCCGGGGTGGCTGAGGTCGAAACCTTCTCTGACGCTTTTCAGACTTTGGGGATTCTGACTGTGCTTTCCTTTTTCTGCTGCTAGAGGGAGTTGATGGAGCGGCGGCTAATGGATTGTTCTGAGACGGCCCTCCCCTTGCTGGTGATGACGTCTTGTGCGTTGTTGGCTGACGAGCAGAGACCGCATGCGCTCTGGGGCGAGCATCAAGATCGGTGGCAGCCGGGCTAGCTGCGCGTCTTTTTTCCATGTCTGTGCTACAATTACCGCTTCAACGCTGTGATACACAGCACATGCCCTAGAGAAGCAGGTACTGACAGATCATGAGCAGGATGCGTTGACCTCAAGCACTGGCCTCGTTGGCAAACTGAGCTCAGTGGCGTGTTCACCGAGGTGAGAACGGTGAGGGTGGACGGGCCCATATATTACACAACTGTTGTCGCAAGGTCACGTGCCCTCTTGCCGACAAGGCATCAAAGTTACAGCGTTACTTCTTCAGGGAAACCTTTTGCCCCGTCGCGTTCAAGAGTACTTGTTCTGTTTGATTCCGGTCTGCGGAGAGTTCTGCCTATCGCCTCCCTGAGCTTGCGATGGCCGCTGTTCGCGGTTGTTCAGTACCAACATGGTGCTAGGTGTTGGTGGCGTTTCCGACTTTGTCAATTTCAAAAGGACAACCTCGTTAACGATTTCAAATCCTTAAAAAGGGCAAGCGCGAAGGAATGCCTTCCTATTCTCGGTTTCCATGCCGCTGGTACCGCACCACGTCCTGCGATATTTAGGTTTCGAGGCCGCCCCCTGGGCAGCGATTATACCTCAAGGATCATCAGGGACCGCATACAGGTCGAACTAATGCAATCGTTTGTATCATCCCTTTGCACGGCACAAGGATGAGCCGAGAACAGGGGTTGGACGTATCCTAGCGATGTCGGCGTGGCCAACCCTTGGGTCTATAGAGAAAGTGGGCTGCGTGCCTGCTTCGAAGGCCGTCTTGGGCGATATCAACGGATGCGCCATGAAGAGTACCACAGGCCCGGAATCGAAGCATTGTGTGTCAATCCCAAATCCGAATTCCTCTTTCCCGGGGAGGCGCTGGTCCAGACACCTGGGGAAGTGCTTGCATCCAAGGGTTTGGTTCACGCCACAATCCTGCGGCCATCCCACGCAGCAACCACACGCGCAGGGTTCAACCGCCGCCGCGTAACTGATCAGTCTCATTCAGGCCATCTCCGAGGAGTGATGGTACCGGGGAGAGGTCGGTTGGGTGAATCGAAGGCCCCAATGCTTGGCGTGGCTGCCAACTACCGGACCATGTCGCCATCGGTTCCTGTCGATGTCGTGATTCGCAGGAGCCAATCGAATCTCGCGTTCCCCACGCAAACCCATGGCTTTCGAGATCGCGCAACGACAGCTAGCTACAGATTGGCAGCTCAAGCGTGCCTCGTCTGCACCGTCATGTATCATGATGTAGTTGATTTGGAGGATTTTCTACCCTCCATCAGCAAAGCGATGGACGCAGAGGTCCGGCACCCCGGTTGTCCCCATGTGGTATGCGACGATCGCCATGACACATGGCCATGGGGTTACACTTTCTATAAATTGTCGGGACTCCCTGGAGCAGCGAGGACAATTGGTCTGCCCGGACTCTCCGAGCCACGTTGTTTCAATTTTCTTTAGCCGAGACACGATGCCAGAAGCCAAATCCCACGAGCTTTTCCAGGAGCCGGCCCCAAGCGGGTCGCCCGGCCCCACCACGGCGCAAGACTCCGACAGCCCCAGCGACGCCGGGGAGGCACCGGCCACCGCCAAGGCAGGCAATGAGAAACCCTCCGACATCGTTCACGCTCTCGAGATCGAGCACGGCATCAAGGAGAAGGCCCTCATTCGGAAGATTGACTACAAGCTGTTACCAGCCCTCGGTCTTCTTTACCTCCTGTCCTTCCTTGATCGCTCCAATGGTACGCGATGACCCAAGGCACATGCGCCGATAGTGAAACGTAGCATGCTGACAATGAAAAAGTTGGAAATGCTCGTATTGAGGGAATGACTAGCGATCTTGGTATCTGTAAGTGAAATCGTTACCCTTGCTGTCGGCAGCTTTCATACTGACAGCAGAACAGCCGGGAACGAGTAAGACAGGTGCCGAGACACAAAGCCGAAATGCATACTGACCACACTCCTGCGCAGATATCTCACAGGTTTGACCATGTACTTCATTGGTTATGTCATTTTCGAGGTCGGTACTCGGCGCCCTGCAATGCGTGCATGCTCCAAACGAGCGACATCATGCTGATTGGAAACGCACAGATTCCGGCGAACATTGTGCTCAAGAGGACATCTCCTCAATTCTGGCTGCCTACTCTCTGTGTCGCATGGGGGCATCGTGGCCACTCTCCTGGGCATAGTCCACAACTTGGCTGGCTTCCTCTCCGCTCGCTTCTTCCTGGGAGTGGCAGAGGCAGGCTATTTCCCTGCCGTGGTCTACATTCTGTCGATGTACTACAAGCGCGATGAGCGACAGTACCGCATCTCCCTGTTTTTCAGCGCTGCCTCGCTGGCAGGCGCCTTTGGCGGCATCCTCGCCTACGTATGCTGCCGTCTCTCCGGCATGGTCTCGCGAATGAAACGCTAATTGGAAGTAGGGAATTGGCCGTATGAGGGGAGTTGTATGGGAAAACAGCTGGCGCTGGATCTTCATTCTTGTAAGATTGATCTGGGCTTGCTCATACCTCGTCTGAAGTACTGACATCTCCTCAGGAGGGTATTGCAACCGTAGTGATCGGTGTGGCCGCATACTTCTTCGTCCAGAACTAAATGCTGGCTCTACGGCTTTTGGCTTCCACACAATGAGTCTACCTCTGTACACATTCAGCCTCTTCCTTGTGAGTCAAATATTTCCTTTCGCGTCCCCTGAATCTTGCCAGTCTTGCTAATGTTTCAATCTACAGCCTACCATCATTCGCGATTTGGGTTAGCTACTGTCTCTCGTTCATAGAAAACCGAAATACTAATGTCACGACAGGCTACTCGAGCTGGCGAGCGCAACTCTTGACTGTCCCGGTCTATGCCTTTTCGTTCGCCACCACCCTGACTGTTGCCATCTATTCGGAGCGTCTCAAGCAGCGAGCCATCTTCATCGCTGGATCTTCGTTCTTCGCTATCATCGGCTACATCATGCTGCTCGCGAACACGGACCCCACTGGACGGCCGGGTCTCTCGTACGCCGGCACGTTCTTTGCTGCCGGCGGCATCTACCCCGCCACAGCTCTCGTGCTGTCTTGGCCTGCTATCAACGTCTCTGGGCAGACCAAGCGAGCCATTGGCAATGCCATGCAGATCACGATTGGAAACTGCGGCGCGATCCTTGGAACCCAGCTCTACCGAGCCAACGACGGCCCTAGGTTCATTATCGGCCACTCCTTTGCCTTGGGCTATCTCGCGGCCAATATTTTGGTTTGTGCCACTCTCCGCTTCATCCTCAAGAGGGAGAACACGCGCCGTGAGCAGATCGCCAAGGAGGTCAAGGAGATTGGCGAATTGACGGATTGGCCTGGTGACTCGGACCCCAGGTGGCGATTCCAGTACTAAGTGATAGTCGTCAGCGTGAACATCACGTCGTGGGAGCAGTTGAACTTTTGAGTTGCAAATCTCAGACGAGCGAACGCAATAGTAGTCACAGATAGATCGATACCGTGGGTTTACTTGTACAGTGATCCCGCTACTTTAAAATAGCACAATTGGGTGGCATATTGGGTCACTTTCCTTAAGTATGACGATTGATGTTGGTGGTGAGTGATGTGTTCAATAGCGCTCGGGAGTAGGTTGTGATGCACTCAGAAGCGGCCATTATTTTTCAGTAGCTCTAGAAGTCTTGAAAATCTCCAGCCGAAAACAACAATCCGCTTTGCGTGTTGAAACCACCTCCACGACCATCTTCCTTTCGGACTCAAGCTAGGAAGTGGAAAGACAGGTAGCTAAAATACCGTATGCAAGATGATTTGTTGTGCTTGGGGCTCACAGCTCCGAACTAGGTGCTTGTGAAACGTCTTCATTCTCGTGGAGTTCCTAGCCGCCTGCAAAGGCACGAATTGGCTTTACGCGCTTCATGGGTTTCGCATTGCTGAGATCACCGGATCCCTTGTGTTTGGTCATTGCCAGACCTTCAACTGTGGCAATAAGTTAGAGCACAATGCCCATATACATAGTGACTGCTATGGCTTGCCTTGTACTTGGCCCGTCCTGGCACAGCGATTCTGATTGTTAAGGGACGTGTGAACATCGAATGAGGTTCTTCGCGCAGAGCCTGTGTTACCCGTGCGACAGGCGATTGCAATGCGGTACCAGTATTGTCAAGATCTGCAAGTTTGGTGACGATGTCGTCCCGTCTGGCTATAAGTTCTTTGACTCTGATTTGGAGTGCCCTGGCATCAGCCAAGACTGTTGAAGCTTCAATGCTGAGCTCAGCGACCCTGTCATCGAGACTAGGGCTAGATTCCAGTAGAGCCCTGAGGGCTCCGTCGGCTGCGTCTACCAGAGGTACATAGTCCGCTGCCAGGCCCTTCCTCTGGGTCATTTGATGTTGATCCTGGGCTTCTTCAAGGAAACCCTCTTCAGAGTGCGCGGTATTCTCATTTTTGGGTACGTCGGATTCGGCGGCATAAATGTCGCGTATCTGCTGAAGAGATACGAAATCAGAATCTGTGGAGATGTCCCAAGGTTTCTCGATCCAAGTTTCGCCTGGCAGCTTTCTCGAAACCTCTCGCAGCTCGGTCGCGTCGGCCCCTGTTTGATTGAAGTTCTTCAAGCGTGCGAAATGTGGCCGCCCGAAGTACCCTTTTCTGCTTTATTGTGTAGCTTACGCCGTTTGGCTGGTCCGGGACGGTTCCAGCAGTATACTCGTCAACCTTGGCATCCTTATTATGTCTTGCTGCTTCAAGGGACCTCTTCCATCGCCCAGGGGTAGGCGTTGACTTCCTTCGTGTCTTTGGAGGCTTTTGGCTGTTGATTCATTTCCTGGTCGTAATGTGATTGCGAGCCTTCGTCTTCTCTCTTTCCCGCCGTTTCTTCTTCTTTTTGATCGATGTGCTCATCAGGCTTGTACTTTTTTGAGTTGACAACCCAAATATTGGAGTTTCTCTTGCGACCGGCCATGGTGATTCTGCGTTGATCATGTTTGTTGGAGAGTAGACTTCTATGCGTTTGCTTGCGAGGAGTTCTCAGCTGACAGGATGCACTGGAGGGGTAAGACTTCTCTCTGTAACATACTTCTGGGGCAAATACGCTCACTAAGGTCTAACCATCACAGGAAGGACTACAATTCTGCTCTTGTATACCTCTTGGGACCTTGAGAATGGCTATCGATTAGATGCTGATACTATCGAAAATCTGCAAAAGGGAGCCATGGCAGCTAAATTGAGAGTCTCCTGTGCGCCTGTCTGTTGTGAACATTGAAGGGGCTTTCTGATAACTGCCCATCCCCAGCAACACAGCCCCAGAAGCATGTCTTTGAAAAAGATACCACCCTCGCTTCTACATTTTCAGTAACATCTCAGTTCCAGACGCCTTGTGCACGCCAGGGTTTAGACTTATTCTGGAGTCTTCAACGATTATAACATCCGAGCACGACTCCGTCTCCACTTATTGGTCGGTTAGCTCAGTTGGTCAGAGTGTGGCACTTGAAATGCCAAGGTCGTGAGTTCGACCCTCACATCGACCCGCTATGTAATTTTTGCCGAATTTGGCGCATGTGTTTGTGAGGTAGTCAGTCATTTTGATTAATGACAGGGACAGGGTTATCATGAGTTAGGACTCTTTCGCAAAAGGCGGCTCGACAGGTACGGTTGGAAGCGGTGACCGTCTTTCAGCACATCGGACGGCCTGAAGACACGAGCTTGTGACAGATGCGATGTTATGGTCAACTGTCCACACTGATTCTTGAATGTAATAGAACTCATTGCATATTCATTCATTTTGCTCAACATGCAGTAATGCCGGGAAACAGGATGGACATGTAAATTCATTAAAACGCTAGAACTGAGATGTCAAAGCACTTATTTGTGCATAGCAGCCACCGTCTCCGCGGACGTGGGAATCTTGTCCTGCGCCGGAGTGATATCAGACGGGTTGCCCGTCTTACCCCGGGAGTCAGGCTGCACGCTGACATCGGCACGCTGCTGACGGATAGGGTCGATAGAGCTGGCCCCGACACTCTCGAGCCCGCTGCCGTCTGACTTCCTCTTGCCGCCGTGCAGCTCCTGGCTCGTCATGCCGGCACCAGGGTGGCCGAGACCGGCGTGGACATCCGCGCTGGTGGCGCCGCCGAGGGTGTCTGAGGCCTTGGGGGGCTGGCCGGGGATGGTCTCGGAGGAAGGATCCGGCTTGTAGGCATCCTTGGAGGGGGCAGTGCCGGCAGGGTGCGTCTCGGCGTGGAACTCAGGCTTCGCGTCGTTGCCGACTAGGGTTCCCGGGGCGTGCTGGGCAAGTCAGCGAACTGGGGCGTCGAGTTTGGAAATCACAGCAGACTCACGCCTTTGGTGGTAAGGGGCTCAGACCCAGGCACCCTGGGGTGGAACTCGCCCTGGTTGGGGCCAGCGACGGACGCGGGGTTGCTGTTGACAGACATGGTGTTTGTTACTGTGATACGGAGGCTCGTGGGTAGATAGGCTGTTGGATGCTGGACGCTGTTGGAAGTAGGCGTCGGGAGGCAATGCTGAGGGGAGTGATATGAAGACGACCAGCAATAATAGCTACTGCACGTCTTCTTTGACAGGCCTTATATTCATTCTGACCGCGCCTATGGAAAAAGATTGTCAGGTTCGTGGAGGTGATGTCACTTCTCCTCATTACATCACCGTTGTGGGCAACACCCAATATGAGGACCGCTTTTCTGTCGAAAAGACCATCGAGTACCAGGACTTTTCAGCCTTGGACTCGTGGTCTCGTGCAGAAAACTGGAGAATGACTTCATTGATGCTGTCTAGAGGTGTTTCCTGTTGTCAGCTTGAATGCCTTGAATGCTTATAATATGGCTCCACATCGGACACGGCGACGGTTGCTGTCGCCGCCAAGAGAACCGGGGATGAGGGACGGACATTCTGGTCCGGTCCGACCGGCCCTGACTCGAGGGACCGGCAGATCACGATGATCAGGCGGATACCGCACATACTAGGTTTTTTCAAGAGTCTCTAATTGATCTCCACTAGAACGTGGGGTACTTCCTGTCACAGGCAACGTATCGACCAGCTTCTTGAGAATGAACGTGAAATGATAATCGCAATCGCAAAATTGCACCAAGGGTCCACGGAACCAGAAGATGCCTCTCATTCACGGTGGTCCTAACCAGGAACCCCTATCAATCGGCTGTAGCCTGAGCCAAAACAAGTGCGACGTGAGAAGGAGGAGGCAAGGCACAAGAAGAGGAATAGCAACGAAAGGCCTAAAAGACCATGCTGGAGGAATGTCTGTATATCACTCCCTCCTCTCTACCGACTTGGGCTCGAGAAGCTGCCGTGCCATGTTTTTCTTCGGTTCGACAGACATGTCGGGCCACACCTTGTGAAGAGATTGCCCTTGGATATAATCCATACGTATGTGTCCTTGACCATCGGAAGACGTGTGCACGTCGCCGATACATGGGGTGGGGATTCCGGGCTTGAGCGGCGACTCTGACTCTGAGGGCCTCCACCTCCTCCAATGATATGCGTTTCCCAGACTTGACAACGATATTTTCAGGGACGTAGGT